TTTGCGCGGGAATATGGAGACTACTCACACACGCGGTATTTATAATGTAAACATGATAAAGAGAGTTTCAATTTGCACGGGAATATGGAGACAATTTACACACGCGATATTTATAATGTAAACATGATACAGAGAGTTTCAATTTGCACAGGAATATGGGGACAATTCACAGTCACACACACGGAATTTATTATGTAAACATGATACAGAGAGTTTCAATTTGCACGGGAATATGGAGACTATTCACACACGCGGTATTTATTATGTAAACATGATACAGAGAGTTTCAATTTGCACGGGAATATGGAGACAATTCACACGTGACCTCCAGTTAACCCACAGCTCAGTGAGAACAACAATTCCAAATTACCCTACAGGGATGGATACAGGATTTACAGGATTTAAGTGAGGGGGGGGGGGGCAAGATAAAAGATAGGATAAAAAAAATTCATAATTAGGAACAAAAAACTTTTCACACATTATAGTTTATTAAGACACATATTTTTCCTGTTTTGCACTAGGGTTTCTTTCCTTTAAGCATGCTATTGAGAAGCTATTCTGAAAATAGGAACATAAAATTCCAAATTCAGGGGGGGGGGGCGAATGTCCCCCCCACGCCCCCCACCCTGTATCCGCCCCTGTTACCCTACATTATTTAAGAAAACGTAAGAACAAAGATGACATTCATTACTAAGATGCTTGGTCCACGCCTAAAAAAAATACGAACGATAGGTTTATTTATAAAAAAATCGATTTAATTTACAGAAATACTATTTTTTTTTCAAACCACTTAAAAACAAAACGTAACAAAATATTTATCAAGGGACCAGACACAAAATTTTGACGACTTTTTATCTAACAAACATAAAAAATCCCAACAAAAATGGGAAATAAGTGACTGCTTATATATCGTCTTTGTTCCTTGTGGTATTATTGGTGACCCTTTAAAGGGAAATAATCAGTTTCCAGCTTGAAAATAATGATATCTTATTCATTCTTGATCTGATTTAGATTTAAAGAATATTGTTGGTAATTGGAAAATGAGATTCAACTTCAGGGGACACTAGTTCCAAAACTAACACATGGCCTATTTCTTCTAACACTGAGTGTTAGAAATGGGCACAAATTGAAAGACTGGGTTTTGAGATCCCAGCCCATATCGAGAATAAAAATCGATAATTAAAACTATTACCAACATTTTTTTATGCATGACGAGGACAACAATTCCTAATTTAAAACTATTTTCTGGAATCAAAATTATAAAAGGAGTTCGTTTTATATCAAAACCCTTGACCGTTTTTAATTGTAAGGTTTTCCATTTTCGAACATATCCTGAATTTGAATAATTTCTAAAATTTTAATTTTCCTATTTTATTTGTTAAATAAGAGAATCAAGTTGATTTAATTTCCCGAATTCTAAATAAACAATTTCCCAGATTTCGAGTTAAATCTATATTGTAATGATTAATGATTTTTAATATTATAAATAACAATATTTTTTGTCTTCTATTTGTTTTTTTACTTTATCAAAAAATCTTCTTTTGTTACATAAGTGCATGAAAATTGACATTGATATGAATTCGAGTAATTGTCTCAAAACCAGGATATGTTCCGAAAACGCGACATGAGCCGAAATGCGGTAGTTGTTTCAAAATAGGGATTTCATCAAAACTAATTCTCACACCTTCTTATTAGTTGACACTTTCTGTTTCAAAGAGAAAATGCTTACCAAGGAAGCGCCCTAAAAGCTCTAAAAATATTTTACAAATGTTAAGAAGTTTAGCAGCTTTGAATTGGTTGAATCCAAGTCTCTCTAAAGTTGAAAATGAGAAAATGAAAGTGAGGACAAAGTCCTCTCCAGTCTCCAAGTTTCTAAATCAGTCCGGTCTTGATGGTTGAGGCAAAACTTTCATAAAAGATAACTTTGCATGATAATCTTCACTGCTCATACTGGTACGAGTATCTATAATATTAAGTTTGTCTGTTTTTTTATCCAATAAACGGATAAACCTATCCGGTCCAAATTTTGTGTGGGACTTTACATGACCCTAGAGAAGGTTTATGAATGCTCTAAAGTTCAAAAATCTCGAACAAAATTTAATTTTCATTAAATTTTGAAAAAATCTACAAACTTTTTTGATAAAATACGCGAACTTTTTTGTTGTTTTTGTTTTACAATATACACCAAAAGAAGATGGGTGCGAAGCTCCCTGAAAGCCTAGAGTATAGCTATAGATAGGGTTATAAATACGTATAGTATTAGTACACATTACATAAATATTTTATTTTAAATATAACATTTTCTGTACAAGCCTTCAATTAATTCTGATCTTTTTGATGTCAATTTTGTTTGTGTAGACTGATGATTTAATGAACATGTTTGGTTGTAATTCTTGTTTATGATTCGACAAAGCACATTCTTAACATACAGGGTGTCCCAATAAAAGATCTTAAGGGATCGTCTTTGATCTTTGATATTTATCTAAAGAATATTTGCACCGATCCGTTTCATCTTGAAATATAATCAAAGGTTTGGACAAGTTTGGTTTATTGAGAAAAAAAGATATTTAAACAAAATTCCAGTAATTTTGAAAACACAAAAATAACAGACGAAATTTTGAAATAAAACAGAATTATGGGTCTTTTATAACTACTATTTTAAGAATCATACTCGTAAAATAAAGTTCACCAATCAATGCCCCAAGCTTTTTCAAGAAGAATCTCATGTATAGTATTACACCCTGTAAAGCTCATACGTGAATACCCTTCAGCTAAAACAAGGGGCCACCAAAACACAAAACCAAAACACAAAACCAAAACACAAAACCAAATCACAAAACCAAAACACAAAACCAAAACACAAAACTAAAAAACTACAAAATGTCTTTATTGACCCTCTCGAAAGATCTCAATGAGTTCAGATATGATTAAGAATAAAAAGAATCAATGAACTTTTTAACATATTTAGCACCTGTATCGTCTATAGGGAACTGAATAACCAGCCCTCAGTATCGTATACAGGGGGGGGGGGGCAGAAATCCCCTTGCACCCCCTGGCGCCGCCTGCCAGCCCTGCATGTTCGACATTGGTTCAAAGATAAAATTGTTGATGTGTATTATTACAATGTTGTTTGGGGTTTTTGCGCACACCTGCAAAAACACCTCAGTTTTGCCCAGTTATTCATCAAAACAAACTGTTTTTTCAGCAAACACCTCTTGGAAGCCATACAATACAAAAAAAGGATAAAATTGTGAACATATTCTCTTAATTCAAAACCGGAAACAGTCCTTTTAATTAGTGCTCTTAACTCCTCCTATGATAGTAGAATGAGTCGACATATGATTGACTGCGTATACTGCCTGAGGCCAGTATATACAAATTAGCCCACTAGGAGACGCATTTAGTGCGTCAACTAAAAAGGTTTTGAACTCCATGGGGCGGAAATATTGTTTAATTATATGCAATTCATGTTATACACATTCAATAGGAATATAACTGTAATGATGGATGAAAAACAAATTGTTATTTGATAGTACTGATAAACAAAGTTAAAAAGATACATGTCCAATGAACAACAGTACCTTTAGAGGAAGTTAATCTTATTTTTCACTCGGAAATTGGTTTCTTTAACAGAAATAAAGGTTTGAGGATAAAACATATCGACTGTTTTTTGAGAATTAGTTTGATTGTCCCTGTAAGAGGAATTAACCAAGTTGCAATTAGACTTTTGACAAAAAAGTTTAGATTTTGAGAAAAAAAATTCCATTAAAATATTCTATGAATGTGAATGCAGAATTGAAGATATTTGAGATAAGTTCAAGGAATAATTAATAATACGCCTTTAATATTATTTCATCCGTCACATATTTGATTCTCAGAATACTTCTATAAAACTCCTTTCATCCTACTCTTTCCTACTTCTTTCATCCTACTCCTTCCTACTCCTTTAATCCTACTCCTTCCCACTCCTTTCATCCTACTCCTTCCTACTCCTTTCATCTTAACCTCTTTACATTAATCACATCTTTTTCACTAATTTTATTTCACTCAACTCCCTACTTCCTGCTTGTTCTTTTTCTTCCCCCTTCATTTATTGCAATTTTTCTACTTTCCACTTTTCCTTTTCCTCCTCTTTCCTAATTCCGCTTTTCTTTCTTATTCTTCTTCTTCCTGATCCAGTTCTATTTTCTTCTTCTACTTCCCACAGTTTTTTTCTTCTCTACTTCCTGATCCAGATCTATTTTTTCTTCTACATCCCACAGTTTTTTTCTTCTCTACTTCCTGATCCAGATCTATTTTTTCTTCTACATCCCACAGTTTTTTTCTTTTCTACTTCCTGATCCAGATTTATTTTTTCTTCTACATCCCACAGTTTTCTTCTTTTCTACTTCCTGATCCAGATCTATTTTCTTCTTCTACTTCCCACAGTTTTCTTCTTTTCTACTTCCTGATCCAGATCTATTTTCTTCTTCTACTTCCCACCATTTTCTTTTTTTCTACTTCCTGATCCAGATCTATTTTCTTCTTCTACTTCCCACCGTTTCCTTCTTTTCTACTTCCCCTCCCTTAGTTCCACTTTCTTCTATTTACCACCCTGTATTTTTTTTTGTTCAAGAAAGTTAAACCTAATTAAAGCTATTTTGATCGAAAAGATTCAGGATATGCAGGGTGTATGTAAAAACATTATCATCTTTTATATTGGATATGTTCTCTGTTTAGGGATATTTTCAGAGTTATAACATGCAGCAACAAATTACAAAATTCGTGACGACATTTGATAAGAGACCAAGTTAAAACGCTTTTAATTCCATTTTATTCTGTTTATCACTGTACACACACTCCCCCATTTAAATATCCTTCCAACCCCGGCGCTCCCACCGGTAGAGATGTGAGAGACCTGAATGCATAATAGAACAGTATCGTAATCTCGGAACTTCAACGGACGCTAGATAGGCCTGCGACGGCGGGCTTTCGGTGCCATCTAAGATATTTAGTTTAGTTATAACTAGCATAGCTGCAGGATGCAATATTTGCTCATCCTTTTAGTCATTGGAGTCGGCAGGTTTGATTCTTAGTATTAAGAAACTTACATAACTTTGAATGCATGAAAAGTGTACGGCAGACTGCTGTTACTGAGGAGGAATGATATCTAATTAAAATCTATTTGTTTTTGATTATTAAGATAGCCAACTATAATCGGTTTGTTTTTAATTATTAAGATAGCCAACTATAATCGGTTTGTTTTTAAATATTAAGATAGCCAACTATACTCGGTTTGTTTTTAATTATTAAGATAGCCAACTATAATCGGTTTGTTTTTAATTATTAAGATAGCCAACTATAATCGGTTTGTTTTTAATTATTAAGATAGCCAACTATAATCGGTTTGTTTTTAAATATTAAGATAGCCAACTATACTCGGTTTGTTTTTAAATATTAAGATAACCAACTATACTCGGTTTGTTTTTAATTATTAAGATAGCCAACTATAATCGGTTTGTTTTTAATTATCAGATAGCCAACTATACTCGGTTTGTTTTTAATTATTAAGATAGCCAACTATAATCGGTTTGTTTTTAATTATTAAGATAGCCAACTATACTCGGTTTGTTTTTAATTATTAAGATAGCCAACTATAATCGGTTTGTTTTTAATTATTAAGATAGCCAACTATAATCTGTTTGTATTTAATTTATTTATTTTATTGAGGATACAAACAGATTGTAATTATGGGAATTATGAAAAGATTAAATCCCTTGTCCCTTATGTATTAATTAATTAGTATAAAAAAGTTAAAACCACATTTTTAATTGTCTTAGACAATTCATTTCAAGGAAAACCACAATATAAAGTTCATACGTTCGCTACAGTGCAAGATTTTTTCAAAAATTCAAACCATCTCGAAAATAATTTTTAATTAATTTTAAAAATTTCAAATTAAATATTTTTAACTGACATCAAACTTAAAAACATTAAATTAGAAAATTAAAGCAAACTTTCACTTTTACTAAAAAAGCAAACTTCTCTAAATTAGAAAAATGCTTGTCTAGTCTTTATCTTTAAAATCTATTTAGAATCAAAATTAGTTTAGAAATGTGAAAAGTTTAAATCTAATTCTAAGGAATTGAAACTCTGGTTTTCCAATCCTTATAACTTCGTCACCCGATGGTGTAGACTTTTGATATTTCAAACTAATATTGCTGTGAGATGATATAATCAAAGTTTGAAACACAAAAGGTTTACACCATCAGTTTGCATAGATGTAAGATATAGAAAATTTTAGTTTGAGGCAAAGAGACTCAATTCCCTTGTGCAAACTTTTTTTTATATACACACGTACACGTTGTGCGGTATTTAGAAAGCTTTCAATGATCAACTTAATGACGCTTGTTCAAGGTTATAATGCAAGGAAAGTTGATTAGTTTGAAATGTCGAAAAAAAACTAAAAAGTATGGAATAAAGAGCAAATCCATTTATTTAACATTTTTCAAGTTAATTTTGCATTAACTTTGTTTTATATCAACACATGTATGATATAAACCTAATAAATTTGCTTTACAGAGCGGATAAATTTAAATCGTGACTATTGATAAAATTATGACATGAACTTTGCAAATATAAGGTGTATTTATATGTGTACAAATACAATGTACATTGAGAATCAGAAAACAGTGAAATTCAATTAAAAAAATACAAATTCTCATGAGGGAAAAATAATTACTGTAACTTTTAGAACGACTTTAAGAGAGTCTTAATGTCTTAATTTCTAGGAAATGACAAAGTTAGATCAAATATATTTCTAAACTTTTTATACACATTCTCAAGGTTATAGTGCAAGGAAAGTTAATTGAAGTTGCGTATACTCTGTGCACATATTGAAACCAGTTCTCCCATGGGCGGAACTTGTAAACAAGAATAGATGCATCAGTGTTCGTTTAGTAGCCGTGGAGGTTAAAAGCATTAAGTTTTGATAATTTTGATAATTCTCATAATAGTTTCCTACGACCAGAATATTTCATTGATTTTTATGTGAAAGATGGATCCCATGTAAGGTTTCGACATCCGTCTTGTGTTTAAATTACCGCCCAGAGACAGTACACTGTAGTACAAAAGATGAGTACACCTCTGAAATAACTTTCCTTGCATTATAACCTTGATCTATATATAGTACCTTTTATAAACAACTCAACAATCTATTAAAATATGATTTCAAGTGATCCACTAATTCTAGAGTAAAATGAACGATTCACAACGGTACTCTTTCCACCTCTGTCTAATAAGAGATGAATGAGATATTCATATTGTTCTAGCTAAATATTTACTGCGTTTAATCTGTGTTTCCTTATGAGTGAGAATAACGGATTTATGCTGCAGATGCATCTAAGAATTCGATGGAATTTATTACTTTTTAAGATTGAAAAACTATGCTTTCTTCCTCATTCTTCATCAGATAAAGGTTAAAGGGCCGATGCAAACTTTTTGATCCATGCTCTCATAAACTTACGTCATGGGTCCCTTTAAGCTGCCTAAAAATCTTGATGTTTAGCGGTAGACCCTGGACAGAGTATATGTTTAGGTGTGAGGAGGGAGATGCTACGTACAGTTTTGAGTACACCCTGGACAGAGTACATGTTTAGGTGTGAGGAGGGAGATGCTACGTACAGTTTTGAGTACACCCTGGACAGAGTACATGTTTAGGTGTGAGGAGGGTGATGCTACGTACAGTTTTGAGTACACCCTGGACAGAGTACATGTTTAGGTGTGAGGAGGGTGATGCTACGTACAGTTTTGAGTACACCCTGGACAGAGTACATGTTTAGGTGTGAGGAGGGAGATGCTACGTACAGTTTTGAGTACACCCTGGACAGAGTACATGTTTAGGTGTGAGGAGGGAGATGCTACGTACAGTTTTGAGTACACCCTGGACAGAGTACATGTTTAGGTGTGAGGAGGGAGATGCTACGTACAGTTTTGAGTACACCCTGGACAGAGTACATGTTTAGGTGTGAGGAGGGAGATGCTACGTACAGTTTTGAGTACACCCTGGACAGAGTACATGTTTAGGTGTGAGGAGGGAGATGCTACGTACAGTTTTGAGTACAGGGTGAAGGATGAGCACAGTGGACAAGATTTTGGACAAGAAGAATCAAGGTTAATTTTTCTAAAGATTTTTAAAAGCGTTTCCTTATTATTAATAACATTCAGATTTAGTTTTTTATCCTATTTCATAGTTTTTTAATTAACATGATCTATTTTTATTAGAACTCCCTGTAGTTTATTAACCATTGTGTTTATTGATTTACTGGTATAATTAGGTCTTTGGTTTATTTGAATATCTAGTATTGATTCTTTTTATTATGTTTCGGACTGTAATATTGGGACATCCTGCAGTTGATCTTTAATTATGTTTCGGACTGTAGTATTGGGACATCCTGTAGTTGATCTTTTATTATGTTTCGGACTGTAGTATTGGGACATCCTGCAGTTGATCTTTAATTATGTTTCGGACTGTAGTATTGGGACATCCTGTAATTTATTTATTATCATTTCAGGTCTGGTTTTAGGCACTCAGTTTATTTGACCTTTAAATTAGGTCTGTATAAATGGGACACCCTGTATTTGACCTGTAATTGTATTTAGGTCTGTATAAATGGGACACCCTGTATTTGACCTGTAATTATATTTAGATCTGTATAAATGGGACACCCTGTATTTGACCTGTAATTATATTTAGATTTGTATAAATGGGACGCCCTGTATTTGACCTGTAATTATATTTAGCTCTGTATGAATAGGACACCCTGTATTTGACCTGTAATTATATTTAGGTCTATATAAGTGGGACACCCTGTAATTGACCTGTAATTATATTTAGGTCTGGTTACAATACAATCGGTGAATATGAGGTTCAGCTACCTGACGGCAGAAGGAAAAAAAACATTTATTTATAAACTTTGATTTTTTAGAATTCTACCATTGATTTGTGTTTTCTGTCCGGCTCTTATCATTGGCTTTAATTCAAGAATGTTTATATACAGTGGTCAGCGTTAAAATTAATACAATGAAAACGACTTTTCCATTTAAGATTTGATTTCTAACTTCAAATGTTTATCTAAAATGCTCAATTTATGAAATGTAGCTTAAAAGAATTTTGTAAATTTGGAACTGAATAAAATAGTGTACTATAAACATTTTTAGAGATTTCTTATTGCTAATTACAAAATCCTGAGCGAACTTTAATGTTGACCATAATATTTTTTACAGTTTTCAGTGAATATATATTTTTTCATTAAAATATTCATTGGTCAAAATTCTCCGTTGTTTTGAAGTACATAGAAATCCGTAAACTACTCCTAACGAAACACCGGATCGAATTGAAAAATTTCATTTTCTGAATTAAAATGAAGGATATCAGGTTTATTCCTGCTCAATAAAGCATGTGAATCTGACACACCACTCTCTAATTGTATAAAGGGTAACTTGAAATAACGCTACAGTCCCTTTAAATATTCTAAAGTTTTTTTTTAACAGACAGATTGTCCGTTACACGGTCACTGATCCGCAGAGTGGGTATGTAGTTGATGTGTCATATGAGGTAAATAATTAACAGGCCATAACTCTTTCATAGATGTTTAATATGTCTGTCGATGCGGCTCGGGGTCACTTTCACGTGGCTCGTGGCCGTTTTGCTTTCCGTCTTTCACTAATGATAAGTAGTGAAAAGGGGGGGGTATATTTGTTATAAACAATTAACAGATAACTGACTATAGTGGATTAACGAAAATAAAGAAAGAACTGCATAATTCAAATGTTTTCAAATTTTTATTAATGTTTAAAAATAAAAATAAATAATTCTGAAACGTATCCACCCACAAACTAGGAGTTTTGAACGTCGAATTTGAGCTAACTCAGGATTTACAGATAACAAAATTAAGATTAAAAAGTTTAATTTGTCTCAAATGAATCCGAAGGAAGTTTTCCACAACACTGCATAGTCTGTTCAACTACTTTATATAGCCGGTCACTCCCTTTAAGTAAGCAAAGTAAACATTGACTTCAGAAAATTGTTAAAATATATGAGTAACAACTTTCCTTAAATCACTAAAGCTTTCTAATAAAAAAGACGTTTAACGATGAGGGTAATTAACGCAGGGTGATTATAGTATATGAACATATATTTTTGCCACAGGGTGAGTAATAAAACATATTTTTGCTACAGGGTGAGCATAGCGTATAAACATATATTTTTGTTACAGGGTGAGTATAGTGTATAAACATATATTTTTGTTACAGGGTGAGTATAGTGTATAAACATTTATTTTTGCTACAGGGTGAGTATAGTGTATAAACATATATTTTTACCACAGGGTGAGTAATAAACATATTTTTGCAACAGGGTGAGTATAGTATATAAACATATATTTTGCTACAGGGTGAGTATAGTATATAAACATATATTTTTGCTACAGGGTGAGGCAGAATTTAAGGATCAAGGTCCCCCACTTACTGGACAATCATCATTTTCTCCAATTAGGAAAATATGTTTTTGATTTTAATTCTTATTATTTTACTGGTTTTGTATTATTTGATTAGATTATTAACCAATCAGATTTAAATAGTTTATAAAAGCAAAAAAAGTGAAATGTGACCTACAAAAGATGTCAAATTTAAGAAAAATTATTTTTAAAACTTTTCTTTAAAACAAAATGATTAAATATATTTGTTGTTAAAGAAACAAACCTATAGCTCCTGTTGTTGTATCCACCAGACCACATTCAGAAATAGATCACAGGTTAGTCAAAATAAGCCTACTGTAAACCTACCGTAAACCTACAGTAAACCTACAGTAAACCTACTGTAAACCTACTGTAAACCTACTGTAAACCTACTGTAAACCTACTGTAAACCTACTGTAAACCAACAGAAAACTATATTACAACTTTGTCCTGAAAACTGTGTCGTGAATTTCGAGATCAAGTATTGATCTCCATCTTACATCTTATGTATAACAACTTTAATTCCACATTTCGATATCCAGTGGTGGTCATAACCTGTGGGGATAACTTTGATCGAGGGATTAAACATTTATCCTCAAATTCAAAGGTCTCAAATTGGATCTCGAGATCAAGAGTTCATGATTAACAATACTACCCCGGTACTCCACACAAGATTATTAATACTCCCCCGGTACTCCACACAAGATTAAAGATACTCCCCTGGTACCCCACACAAATTAAAGATACTCCCCTGGTACTCCACACAAGATTAAAGATACTCCCCTGGTACTCCACACAAATTAAAGATACTAGCCCGGTACTCCACACAAGATTAAAGATACTCCCCTGGTACTCCACACAAATTAAAGATACTACCCCGGTACTCCACACAAGAATAAAGATACTCCCCCGGTACTCTTCATAAGATTAAAGATACTACCCCGGTACTCCACACAAGATTAAAGATACTCCCCTGGTACTCCACACAAATTAAAGATTCTCCCCCGGTACTCTACACAAGATTATTGATACTCCCCCGGTACTCTTCATAAGATTAAAGATACTCCCCTGGTACTCCACACAAATTAAAGATACTCCCCCGGTACTCCACACAAGATTAAAGATATTACCCCGGTACTCCACACAAGATTAAAGATACTCCCCTGGTACTCCACACAAATTAAAGATACTCCCCCGGTACTCCACACAAGATTAACGATACTCCCCCGGTACTCCACACATGATTAATGATACTCTCCTGGTACTCCACACAAATTTAAGATACTTCCCCGGTACTCCACACAAGATTAAAGATACGCCCCCGGTACTCCAAATAAGATTAAAGATACTCCCCCGGTACTCCATAAAAGATTAAAGATACTCCCCCGGTACTCCACACAAGATTAAAGATACTCCTTCGGTACTCCACACAAGATTAAAGATACTACCCCGGTACTCCACACAAGATTAAAGATACTCCCCCGGTACTCCACACAAGATTAAAGATACTACCCCGGTACTCCACACAAGATTAAAGATACTACTCTTAACAAGATTATACTCCCCCGGTACTCCACACAAGATTAAAGATACTCCCCCGGTACTCCACACAAGATTAAAGATACTCCCCCGGTACTCTTCATAAGATTAAAGATACTCCCCCGGAACTCCACACAAGATTAAAGATACTACCCCGGTACTCCACATAAGATTAAGGATACTCCCCCGGTACTCCACATAAGATTAACGATACTCCTTCGGTACTCCACACAAGATTAACAATACTCCTTCAGTACTCCACACAAGATTAACGATACTCCCATGGTACTCTAAACAAGATTAACAATACTCCTTCGGTACTCCACACAAGATTAACAATACTCCTTCAGTACTCCACACAAGATTAACGATACTCCCATGGTACTCTAAACAAGATTAACAATACTCCTTCGGTACTCCACACAAGATTAAAGATAGTTCCCCGGTACTTCACATAAGATTGAAGATACTACCCCGGTGCTCCACACAAGATTAACGATACTCCCATGGTACTCTACACAAGATTAAATATATAACTCCCCCGTTACTTCACACAAGATCAAGGATACTCCTTCGGTACTCCACACAAGATTAACAATACTCCTTCGGTACTCCACACAAGATTAAGGACTCTCCCACGGTACTCCACACAAGATTAACGATACTCTCACGGTACTTTACACAAGATTAACGATACTCCCACGGTACTCCACACAAGATTAACGATACTCCCCGGTACTCCACACAAGATTAACGATACTCCCCCGGTACTCCACACAAGATTAACGATACTCTCACGGTACTTTACACAAGATTAACAAAACTCTCACGGGACTCCACACAAGATTAACGATATTCAACAATTAAAGCAGTAAAGAATATAGCATTATAGACTTTTTAGGCCTGCTGAAAGTGTGCGATCTGAGAAAAGGTTTTTGCCTAGAGCCCCTGTACATAGACCGGCACATAAACCTGTACATAAACCTGAAGTTAAACCTGTACATAATAAGATGATCCACCAGTACAAGGAACTAGATTAAATACATATATTTGAAAACAATTTGAAATTGTTGTTTTTAAGATTTGCTTTCATTTTGTACCACATACATTGATAGAATTTTCTACCGAAATAAACAAAGAATTATAATTTTAAAACTCTCAACCCCATTCAAAATTGGAAAAATAGTATTTTTCAGAAAATTAGATTTTGAAAAAAAAGTTGATCTATTTCGATTAGGAAGTAGGTACCACGACTTCAGGACCCTATCCTCAACCCGCAGTTTATATCCCTTCATACAACAGGTAAATCTAGATTCAGGGAGTGTTCAAAGGACTGTACAGGAAAAATGAAAGGGAGTATTTTAAGCAAAAATTTGTATAAACCGAATTTTCTTAAAGTACTCTTCTGCATTTAAAGGGACTTTTAATGTGATTTTTGTAAAAAAAGATATTTTCATGATATTTTTGATTTTGTTTTAAATTTACATTTCGCTTACAACTTGTTTTCACGGCTGGTGCTGGATTTTCGAACAGTCCTGAAAAACATGAAATTGTCGTCTTCATTATCAAAAATCCTCTAAACTGGAAAAAATGTTTTTAAAAGTAACTCTCAGATCATAAAAAATAAAAATAAATATTATGAAATATTAACTATATACAAATTCGTCGAAAAATTAAATTAGAATATTACAGGGTTACCCATAAAGGATGAGACTTCAGAGACGACTGTACAATATTTATATTGTCTTTTCATTATAGTCATAATTCCCTACAGCTTCTTTCTATATTTGCTAAATAATTACAGAAACACATTAACCCTATCTCTGCTGGGTACTTAAAAACCAGGATATGCTAGGGGGGGGGGGGCAATTTGACCCCCCGTCTAAATCCCAAAATTTGCAAATTTGCAAAAATTGAATTTTTTATCGTAAAATCCAGTTATATAGTAAAAATGTTTGAAAAAAAATTGTACAAAAAATGAAAAATTATACATTTTTGAAAAGCCCTTGACCATGCCATTTCAAATATGCAAAAATTTTTGCAAAATTTTAAATAACCTGATTTTTAATCAAGAAAAACTAAAAATGTGCAAATTTCCTTTGACAGGTTGTTTGCAAAAAATTTGCAATTTTTTTTCGCAAAACTTGTGCAATTCGTTTCCTTATGTCAAAGGCTTTCCATAAAGCTAAATTTTATTAAAATCTGACAAGTGGAAATGGGTCAAAATAAAGATTTAGTTTGTTACAGGAAAAAACAGTCATTCAGGCAGTGTGCCTGAGGACTCAGTCAGTTAGTATTGAAGCTCGGTTTTAGGGCTGAAGGGAGGGCTTTGGGTATGTAGGAAAAGTCAGAAAATTTCAACAGCCTCAGACCAATGCTTTTTGAGTTATGTAAAAAAACTACAGGAATAGGGTTAATAAATTATATTTATGGTAGAAGCCGTAATTTACCCTTGTGATCATCATAATTTGTGATGTAATCAAATCTGTAAATATTTTATATAATTATTTATAGTGTGAAGTTTCCTGATTACAAAAATAAAATGCATCTTGGAGAGAGTAAAATATTGTATTCTCTCTTCAGAGAGGATATTAAGGTAAAATTATTAAAATATACAAAATTTTTTGAAAAGTTTTATCCACTAACTCAAAATATTCTAGTTCCTTTATCTTTGCAGCCTGATGGCGTGAACCAGTTGTATTTTAAAATTAGATTATTTTTAGGACGTAATGATCCCAGCTTCTGGTGAAATAAAAGCTCACAAATCAAATGACGATGCGGAAAAGCATTCTTAAAGCTTATGGTAATACAGAATACTACAGATAGAACTGTGCAGTGTGCAGTTTAAATACCTTGAAATTATGTTTAAAATTAGAACAAACAGTGTCCGTATCTAATGAATTTGAGTCGCGTCTTAAATCCGCCCAAAACCGGTTTCAATCGAGCGCTGGCTTAAATCTTGAAGCAATGAACACGATTTTAAGTGGAACCCACCATATTTGAGCCTTGGTTTAAATTTAAGCCGCGGCTCAAATTCTTTAAATTCGGTCTCAGATACGTTAGAAATTCAAATCAATATGTTATTAAAGGCGGAATTATAATCATTTACTTTCTTTCGTAATCTATTAAATATCTTTCTATAATCTTAAATATCTTTTGAATAAGATTGCACAAAACTAAGAGAATAAAATCTAAGGGTTTGTTTGCACTGTTTGTAGAACTACTTCTGTTGTAAACAAAACCTTTGTATATTGTTTAAAATTTAACTAAAGTTCTTGAACAATGTTCTCATATGTTTACATTAGGTCTCTCTTGAATGAACAAGACTGTGGGAAAGCTGAAAAAAGTTCTCTTAACTACACTTCTCACACTGTTAAAAGAACATTTTTTAATAATTCCGAACTGATTAATCGGGAGGTCGGTTGTGTACATCTTTTTTTCTATATGTAAAGTGTACACCTAAAAAAAGAATGAAATATTTTTTTTTCATTATTTATTGACATAACAATTTGTGTGTCGTGAAAAAAAAACTTGACTAGAATTATTATTTATTTATCTATTTATTAAATTATTACTTTTTAGAATTATTTTGTAATGATCTGAAGTTAATTTTTCGGTCAATGTTATAATGTTCATCTTATTTTTAATATTATTATCATAAGATTTTCAAATTGTTTTTAACTTGACGGGACAACGTCGTATTTTCCTGTTTACAGAGATCTATGCCCAATTCACAACGGTACCCTATATATCTTTATAAAATCACGAATGTGGAATGTGGGAATTGTTTTTCTGGATTTAAAATTGGCTTATTTTGACAATTTCCTCCTTGAGAGGAAGAAATGCGCAAATCGCTTTAAAGAGCAACAACAACTTTAACCAGTTTATTTTTTAAGGGACCGTTCATTGGTAAAATAAACAGCTTATACGCTATTAATTGATATTAGTCTTTCTTTTAAAAGACAACTGTGGCCGGAGAAAAAGCCGATTTTTCGTCTAGAATTCAAGCGCAAAGGGAAAAGGGCAAATATGCTGTTTAGTTTACTATGAAATTACCCAAATAAGTGAACGGTCCCTTTAAAGAGAGGCTGATGATATATTCTAGACAAAGGTATCGGGGATATGGTCGTGAATCAGTCAGGCCACTATTTAAATGGAAATACACTTTCGAATACATGTGTACAGTCTCTTTATTTCTAAACTTTGTTAATATACAGGGTTACCCACAAATAATAAGACTGTAAAGACGACCCAAAACTTAAAAAAGCTTGAATTTTGATGATTTACTAAAAGATTAAGCACGAAATAAGTCAGTTTTAGCCTACCAGGAACCCTGAATGCAAAAAACGGACTAAACAAATTTCTTGGAATCGTCTCTGAAGTCTCATCCTTTGTGGGTAACCCTGCACTGTCCGTCTAGTCAATATGTACATTTGATTTATAGTAAATATAAATATAAAAAAAATATTATACATTTAATAATCATCCCGCCACGCTAATGTCATTAGAAAGCTCTAACATTGATTTTGTAAATACAGGCTGTCCAAATAAACATAATGAATTCAGTGAAGAATTCGATATCGTCTTTGTTATGTATTAGCATCGTAATACCTAATTTCAAAAGCCATAATATTATTATACAGGCTGTCCAAATAAACATAATGAATTCAGTGAAGAAATCGATATCGTCTTTGTTATGAATTAGCATCATAATACCTAATTTCAAAAGCCATAATATTAGTATACAGGGTGTCCCAATAAACATGGGAATTCAGTGACGAATTCGATATCGTCTTTTCAAAAAATTCTTTGATTTAGTATAGTGATACCTACTGAGAAAACTGTAATCTGTAAGAGTTTCGTCACATTTTGTTAGTTTATGTTTTGACTGCATACGGTTGTACTTAGTAAAACAAGAAAATTGCAGTATACAAACAGAGTAAACTTGTCCGTCTTCACTGTTCATCTTGCACAGACATTATAGACACACCTTTACAGTCTTTTACCCTTTTCATAAAATAAACTCTAGCAGACATAACAATATTATGGCTTTTGAAATTAGGTATTACAATGCTAATTCATAAAAAAGACGATATCGAATTCGTCACTGAATTCCCATGTTTTTGGGACACCCTATCTGATAGAGTTTGTTTTATGAAAACGGGTAATGGCTGTAAAGATGTGTCTATAATATCTCCACAAGATAAACAGCAAAGACGGACAATTGTTTACTCTTTGATATATACTGTAATTTTCTTGTTTTACTAAGTACAACCGTATGCAGTCAAAACATAATCAAACAAATTGTAAACATAGCACTAGCAGACAAAAATAATACGGATTACCGCTTTCATAGTAGGTATCACTATACTAAATCAAACACCGAGAGCGTACTGCATATTTGTTTTTTATAAGTTTTTTTTGAGATCTAGATATTTATTATCTCCGTATCGAGATTATTTAAATTGTACAAAATAGTTTACATGGATTAAATAAGACAGTTTTACATCAAACTCGTTCACATATATTTTGTGAGAATTATATAGGAGTTAATTTACGGATACATTTTAAATAAAAATTTGGTATCAATGTTACTTAGATTTTGCAAAACATGCGAATTGAGAATTGTACCAATGAAGTGGTGGAACGTTAACTGCATAAAATAGGTTGTTGACGAGACATGTTTATGTGGATTGAATAAAGATATTTTACAACCAACTCGTTTACATATAATTTGAGCAAGTTATGTACAGGGTGTCCCACACATCGAGATATTAGTAATAGAGGGGGCATCTGGAATTTTAGACTTCTTGTTGTACAGCCACTGTACACAATGACCCGATCAAAAATTCTACCTGGGGGGATCATAATTCGTAGATCAGTGTTTTAAGACATTATTGTTTGAAAGTGAAGCATACTATATTCAAGCAAAGAAAACAAGCCCATATGATTTTTGTATAAAAATGAGACATGACAAATAGAGAAAAAAATAAAATCCTTCTCCTTAATGACATCTTGTTTCTTATCAAATTCTTTACTTTTGAAATCTACATTGTGCATTAACTCTTAGGAATAGAGGTTTCTGACTTTTAGAATGAAAAGCAATTCTGAACTAATAATAGATCTAAATTAGGTTTGACTTAATTTTAAAGTTATTGAAGAACAGAAAACTGTTAAAATATTTATATTACATAAATGAACTTAACGTGAAACAAGTGATTTTTAAATATAAATAATCTATTGGTTTTGTAGGAGCACCAATATCTCATTGTTGAAAATATTAAAATTAACTGTCCACACAATACCGTATAAATAGATGTACTTAGGATTAAACCCACTGAGCCCGAAATTTAAAAGAGTATCGTTGAACGACACTCTCGAGTTTCCTTTTTGGGGTCTTAACATTTGTGTAGATTTTGAATAAAGAGGTTCTAAAAACTGGAAAATATGAAGAAACTAAATAAAATAATATTTCATAACAAAAATATTGATATCCACAAAACTGCCTAACCCCATTCATGAAACCCGGGTTCCAAAATTGGTTTTCATAATGATACCCCGAGCCCAAAACTTAAGACAGGGTATCGTAATGACAACCAGTTTTGAAACCCGGGTTTCGCAAATGGGGTTAGGCAGTTTTGTGGATATCAATATNNNATTTGATTTATAGTTATAACGGAAAATCATCGTTTGTAAAGTGGAAGGCATAGAGTCTATGTGAAATGATCATTGGTCAATTATGAAACCAGCCTATTTCATAATTTGGTTTTCTTTTAACAATAATTTTAGATTTTTTATAAAATGATATTCCAGGGCCCAAAAGGTTATATAGCATAAATATGTGAAGTACACCTGCAGTATGAAACAGTACAACAAAATGGCCGTTTTACACTTTTTTCTATTAAATTCCTCTCTATATATTCTATTCTCTATGCCTATAATATATAAATATTAGTAAACAGTGGTAAGTGTACAGTACAGCTAACTGAGCACACAGGTAGAGAACTATCATCCCCCCTGGTCTTACTGTAGAAAATCTGTAAATTATGTAAAAGTTTAAGAAAAAAATGTAAAACAACAATGCATCTTAATTGTTATCATACTATATTAATTAACAAAATATGAACAAATGCTTATTAAAAAGGTTAAATATTATTAATTAATATTTATTAATTCATATCCAGGTCTCGACCGTCTTCTTTAAAGATTACTTGTCTTATAAGCTCCAACAAATCATAGTCTTCCAGAATTCCTGAATAATAGGAATACGTGTGAAAATACTTTGATTTTAATCTCAAACAAACTAGGAAAAGTAGAAATCCCGGCAAACACTTTTTCGCACTTAATAATACCCATTACAATGACATAAATAGATATTAAAAACTTTCCGAAAATTTTTCAAAACATTTTACAACAAAATTTGTCAAAGTTTTGCGTGAAAATTTCAGTAAATATGAGAAATTTTACGAGAAATTTTCGAACAATTTTTCCAAAATTTTACACAATTAGATATTTGTATATTTTACGGATGTTTCGAGAAATTTACCAAAAGTATGAACATTTTTCGGATTTGAGTACGAGTATTTTACGAAAAATAAGGGTATTTACGCACCGTTGGTGAGATACGAAATTTGCTAAATAGGCTAGGTGTCTGTTTCAAGTGAAATCTCTGAAATATCAAGAGCAGAGTCACAGCTAGTGTCCTCAAAAGTGTATTATATTTTAAAAGAAACTGAAAAATTTAAAAACACTGTCATATTAGGGGTTTTTTTACATTAACTTCTAGAGGCAGGGACATCATATAAAAATAAAATGTGTCGCAATCAACTCCTAATATTTCTAGGTTTCAGGCTAATTTTACAGTTCCTTAAACAGCTTCTTTTTATTTATAAATTTGGCTTGTCTGGGTGTTTGTTTGTTTGTTTAAGGATAAGGTGTAAATTTTGTTGAGGACATCACGTGACCACAGGAAAGGTTTATGAATGATCAAAATTTTAAAAATTTGTGTTTAAAAGTGTTTTAAAAAGATTATTTAAATGTTTTATAAAATCCGCGAAATTGTTTTCTTTGTTTTTTTTAATGTTTACAATGAAAACATGTTCAAAATTGAAATATAAAATGGGTGCGAAGCGCCCTTAAAGCCTAGTTAAATTAAAAATTACAATCTGTAAGTTTTACAGTACTCTACAAGTTACCTAGTTGTCCTTTTCCTTTACATTTATTGTCAATGCATTCCAAAAAATCTACTGCACAATCCTTTTCCCTGGCATCACAATCGTCTAACGCAAAAATAGTTAAAATTTGGATTCCAAAAAATGCAAAACAAATTTTTGCTGCAAAATGCTAGTCAAACGACTTTATGGTTCTCTTTGATTTTGGATGAAATTTTCTGCATAGAAGTAAAAATTTTGAAGATGGTAGTCACAAAACGTCATTATTCCTGGTATTTCCAAAATGTGGTCTGCCTGTTTTGTGCTTTCCCCTTTCGCCCAAGAGTCGAAGAATTTCGTTCAAATTTTACAATTTAATTTTGAACAAAATTAAAATTTGAACGAAATTCTTAGTATCTCCGGTAATACTGACAGCACATAAAAGGCAGACCACATATTGGAAATGCCAAGTCCAGGAATTGGTTCAAGAATCAAACATGTTAAAGTAGCTGTTGACGACTGAATGTCACAAATAAAATCAAAAATAAAAGACTTCAAGTCTTATTGCTACTCTCCTGTTTCGTGGGACACCTTGTATGTCTTTCTTTTCATTCATTCATCTAATCCCCAGGCTGGAAACTTTTGTACTGTGGATATCGAGATCAATACTAAATCTTGATCTGCTGCTTATCTGCAGATTAATCTAATCTTTATTCGATATCCTGCAGTGTTGTTGTACCCTCAAGGGGTAACTAAAAAAAAATTAATCCTTAAAACTTAAATTAAAATTGCCCGCAGTTTAATAAAGATCAAAGGATCGGGATTATGAGTATGTGTCACTATGCAGCATGTAAAAGTTCCCAACTCTGAAGAATCACATTTTTACAAAAATATTCCAAAAACTTAACCTACTTAAGTTAAAAGCAAATCCGTAATCTTGACCAGGAGGAACTGCTGGGGAGGCAGAACTAGGTTCAGGTTTAGGTCCAGGAGGAACTACTGGGGTTGCAGGACTAGGTTCAGGTTTAGGTCCAGTTTCAACCAGATACATTTTACAGTGACCTGCTCAATAATATAGTTGCAAAATATAGTTTCAAATTACTAAAATCAAATTGAGTAGAAATGAGTCTGCATCACATTCACAAACTAAGATTTTTTATTCTCTACATCCTAATGTCGAAAACTTTAGATATGTCAAACTATGAATTATATTAGATTATATAAACTTAGTTTTAAATATCAGGTTGCAAAGAAATGAGAAGTAGAAAATTTTAGTTTGTGCGAAAGACTCAATTCTTCTATTGGGGTTTTTTTACATTTTCAAAAATTTTTGGTCCTCAAAAAGTTTGGTAAACACAAAAAATATACAAAACAATTTTATAATTTTGCACAATTTTTGCACAGAGGTTTGTCAAGATTCTGTGAATCGTTTCTCTTGCGCGCGACGTTCAGCAAAAATCATTGCAATTCTAACCTGTTATGAAAAAATGTATGAAGAGAAAGAAGAAAGTCCCTTGATTGGAGACCATTGTTGCAACTATACTTAAAACTGCAATTTTAAAAAGATTAATTTGATATTGAATGTAGTTAAAACGTTATTAATTGGAATAATTGGATTAAGAATTATTTCTTTTTTGTTGAAAATTTGCAAACAATCATAGACCTGGCCAATATTCTGGTGAATCAACGAAAAAAAAAATCAGACACAGAATGTCTAGCATTTAATTTTATACAAACTGAAAATAATAATAATTTGAAACTGAATGAGAAATCGTATTTAAAACCTTTAATTCTAATTTCAAATGGAACGGGCAGCCACTGGGCACGTCCCAACTTTTTCTTACCGTTCTGTTAACGGTTATTTACAACCGTTAAAAAGTAAAATTTTAAGTATTCGTTAAGGTCATTTACCGTTATTTACAAATTACCGTTAGTTAAAGTTTTAAATTTCATTAACGGTGCTAACGAAATGGTTTCATTTTCCAACAACGGCAATAGTTGTTAACGGTTAAAGAAATCAAAAAAAAAGCAGCGAAAATTGCGCGAAGTTTAGGAAAAAAAATTGTTGATTAATGGAGCTAATAGCGCTAAAGACCAAAAAAATGGCGTTAATGGTCCGAAGTGCCGAAAAAATGGCAATAGTGGCCTGAAGTGGCGAAACAATTTTTGTTAGCAGTTAAGAAATTGTTAACAGTGCAGCATTTAACGGTCTACTACAGTATTAACGACATTTTAAACTTAAAGTTAAATGCAATTTTAGGTTGAAAAATAAATTACATAAACTTACCGTTTTATAGAAATCCGCTCGGTTTCCGTTTTTTTCCAAAACGGCTAATTAGTTCTGTTAACGTTTTAAAATTTAACGGTTTTGCCATGTGTTAATGGTTACTTCTGTTATTTTTTGAAAACCTCCGTTTCGTTAACGGAACTTTGCCCAGCCCTTGCAGCCGCTTCAGAACTTTACAATTTAATGGTTAAATTAAAGAATTACAAATTGAATTTGCATTAATTGATTCCTGTCTCACTATACAAACAAAATAAGAATACCACTTAAAATTGTATCAAATGTTTCAAGATTTAAGCCGGCGCTAAATTTAAACCGGGTTTTGGCGGATTTTGGCGGATTTAAACCGCGGCTCAAATTCTTTAAATTCCATCTCGGTTCAACGTAAGGATCATGGCTCCTATGGTTGCAGTAAATCCGAACGCCACTACAGCAACAGCACAGGATGTAGCAACAGCTGCATATTCAACAACAACAAGAGTTCTCTGCTGATGAACCTGAAAGGATTCATTTTCTCAAGTATTTCCTCTCCCCTGTTCTTCTTAACTTCCACCGTTAAGGTTTTTAGGTTATAGACACTCCTGAGTAAAGATGCTGAGCCGAAATTGCAGGTGTCTCCAACACTTAATGAATTTTACGTCTTGGAATCCTGGAAAGTATGAAAAGGTCTTCTAATTACTTAATTCAATGGGAGTCTAGAGGGTACTAACAGCATCAGACTCCAGTTGGAGTATTTCGACATGAAGGGGTTGGGGTTCCTTAATCTAAAGTATCCTTTGCTGTACTGCAACCCACAGCCCTTCCTGGGTTTCTACTAGGATTGGAAAATCGGGGTTGCATGGCAATTCCTGATTATGTTGCAAAATAACGTGAGCATCAACATTGCAGAAATAAAGTTCTCCACGTACTGCAAGTGGTATGTAGTTGGTACAATACGGAGTCTCCACAAGAGGTACATGAATTGGGCTACAGGCATACTCATTTATAATTTGTCCTACATGCCTCACTAAGATGCGTTAGGCACTTAAAACCAGATGTACATGATCAGTATCATCACTGATTAACATCCGTTGTTCACACCTGCCAGATTCCTGTTTTGCCTGTATACTCTGGATAACTTCCTGGTTTCTCCTCTCCATAAATTGGATTGAAGGGAGCAAATCCTGAACCGGGTTCAGCTCGCCTGCTTTGGTATTCAGGCTCTCAAACACTCCCTATAGGGTTGTGGCATATAGCAATATTTTTGGACATCCTGGATTATCCAATTGCTTGGATCTAGTTATATTAAAAGTAAATCAAGATTCTTATCTATTAGAAGATTTTCCGCTTCTTGTTGTAGATTCACTCCTCTGATAAATTTATAGGGATAAACCGGATCCTGCATATACGTCTTGGTTGTCTGTCATGCAACCTCCCTGCTGAGGGGAACAGTCTTCTGGCAGCTCAAATTTCTTGTTCTTGGCAGCAATCTTACCAGATACAACATCCTGTAGAAACTCCTCTGAACTCATTGTGAAAATAATCTGGGTCAAGACCAAACTCTGTTGTACGATCTGCAAGGCGTGAAGTTTCAAATTCTCATTGTTTTTCCATCAGGGGCTGTGAACTTATGTTGTTTCCTGGCTCGTAAGCATTCAGAGTATGTAACTTGTTTTTTGCAATTTTCTTTGAAAAATTTAAAAAATTATGAAAAAAATTTATTGTAAATAGATACATACAAGAAAATTTTATGAAAAACCTAATATTTAATTGTAGGGTTACTTTTAAGCATGATGACCGTGTTTATTGATAAGTTTTTGTTTTCGAGAATTACTTTTACTAAAATTATTTCATTTCATAATAGTTTATTCTCACACTGTTAAAAGAACCTCTAACACTTTTTTCGTTTTTTCGAACTGACTGAACACATTTCTACAATTGCAATTTTTGTGAGATATCCTTAACGTTGTGCTCATTATTTTGAACAAAATGTTTGTAATTTCGAAATGCTACTGAGCTGGGAACTTTATAATTGGATCTTTAATCAGACTGCTTAATCCGAATATCCATTGTGGACACTTTTAATTTCTTGCTTAATCCACTCTTTTTGGGATGAAGTACAGAAAAATCAAAAGCCGTTTTTTTAATTTAAAGAGTCCCTCCTTTTTCTGTATATTACTCTTAAATGGCGCGCAAAATTTCAAATTTACCTGCTTCTGATACGCGACTCTGATTGGTTGAATTTTATACAATATTCAGGATACAAGTACAAGATTAGATTAGTCTCGATTTTATGAAAAAGAGAGGATCAAGGATTAATCTTGATATCCACCATTCTCAGGATGTTCAATTTATGACGCCAAATGTTAATTTTTCAGAAGTGTACACTGTACAATGTACAGTGATACATGTAGTTTTACTCTCAAAGTAGAAACTTTAGGGATAGACTACACGTAATTATTTTAGTTATCTTTCCCTGCAGTTATAATCCAATTTAATTAACGTCTCATCCTTTCTGAGAAACCCTGCATCTTAAACTCTGCACATTAAGTTAGTAAATGTACATTGTACAATCTACATCCAAAAAAAAAATGAAATCTTTTGTTTAAAGTTTATTAATTTTTAATTACAAAACATTTTTTTTGTCGTGAAAAAAAGGATTGACTTTTAATTTTTTACTGCTTATTTATTTATGAGTTTATTACTTTTTAGAATTATTCTGTAATGATCTGAATTTTCGTTCAATGTTATAATGTTCATTCTATTTTTGATATTACTATGATAAGAGTTTCAAGTTGTTTTAACCCTTGAAACTTTGTAAAATCAATAATATGGGAATTTTTTTCAAGATTGAAAATTGGTTTATTTTGACAATTTTCTCTATATTTTTTTTTAAAGAAGCTACATGATATATTATATATATTATATATATTCTAGACAAAGTAGCGCTGTTAATCGGGCATTCCACTTCAGACAATATAAAATTAGTCCACAGTCCCTTTTTTTTAACTTTGGTGTCTAGTCATTCTGTACAATTGTTTTACAGGAAATAAACATTAAAAACTATTTAGATTTTAATACCTACTAGCTGAAGGGCCCGGCGTTACCCGTGGAAAAAAATGGAAAAAAAGATTTGAAAAAAAAATTTGAATTTGTTTTAGCCTAAGACACCCTCCGGCTACCCATGAGTGTCCATTCAAATATATATATATATATATATAAATGTCTTGTTTTATTATATAGATGACGCCACACTATGCCGTTAGAAAGCTTTACATTGTTTTTGTAATGTATGATGTATCAAACTACTAATATCCATTTCAAAATTGCAAGCAATATGTTTTGTAAATTATTAACAGGTTGCTATTCAGTCGACAAATGTCATACGTCTAAAAGTTTTTTTTGTCTTAAAACTCATTTTTTTATACATGAATTTTTCTTCGGTTCATTTTGAGTAGCGGTGTCATGTACAATTTTTGACGAATTGTTAAATTAATGAATTTTTAGGGCTGCTTAATTTTTTTGACTTTTCTCACTAACATCACTTTGGCCTAAAGTTTGGCTTTTATTAGTTGTATACCTACTATAAGAGAACAAAAAATCAGTGTGTTTCAATCTCCACCACAATTAAAGGATGAAAAGCTGTATTAAGATTATATTGAATTAAAACAGAATTAAAAGGAAACATGAATTACATTTCTTCTGAAAGGGGATTTTAGGACTGGACTCACAGATTTTATGTCTTTGGACACTCGGCGCTGGCCTCTTGCCCCTCTTGAATCGGGTCTCTCTGCTGGACTCTGTGACTATTGGTTTCTGGACTCTGACCCTCTATACTCTTAGGCTTCAAACTCTGTCCCCACATTGTTACCCTCCTGAACCCAACCTACCTTGCCCTATAAGGGGTCTGCAAGACCCCTTAGGGCAAGGGAGGGGGATTTGGTTACACTACTACTGCATGCTGAAATACTTTGTTTTACCTACTTAATCTAGATTTAAACCTACTTCCAATCATTTTTATTTGTATAGCTCTTTTATAAGTCTTTAACAGAAGATAGCAGATTACAACATTTTTGATAGAAATTTTATATATATTTTCAAATATTTACATATATTTGCATATATGTTACGTCTGAAATACAAACTAATCAGGTGTGGATTTTAGTTGTATTATATAGTGATACCATTAGCTTAAATCAACTAATTGGATTTGTGTACGCTGCACAATTACTGTGTTTCATGTCGTTTTCCTATTCCAATCTTAAATAGATTTCATGTTGTTACTATTTACCATTAGTTTGAAAATCAACTGATTTAACAATTTTCTTTGTTCTAAAAATGTTCGTTAATTTTTCATCTATTTCGTTCACTCTCTCACTGAAAAATCGTTCAGCAAAACTGTTTGTTCTGTCAAATCGTTGGTTCAATTAAATAGATCTTTAAAAGTGCGTTGAAAGAAATCTCTTGTATTGAACAATTTAAAACCTTTCGTTTTTTTCACTCGTTTTTTGAAAACGATATTTTTTTCAGTTCTCCGGTTGGTCCAAGTAATTAACCCATCTTTTTTTCTGAACGACCCTATTGTTCACGAAAAATATTGTTTGTTCTCAAACATTTAGTTTGTGCACAGTTAAACGACGCCTATCTCTAGTCGTAGATCTTTTATGTGATTTCAGCTAGATCTAATGCCAGAGTTTGAACCATGGTAGAACAATTATACTACAACAACAACATCAAGTTTATCTGAGATTCCTTAGATTTCTTTTTCGGCAGTGTTATGGGTCTGACTGCAGAGAATCTGTTAGTTATGTTGAAGTTTTAGAGAAAAAAAATATAAATCAATACATCTAAATTTTGATTTTATTGTATTATTGAACAAAATATAAACAGATGCCTTTTAAAAGGTTGAATATTAAATGTCCAGTCCTAGATCTTTATGTTTATAGATTACGTTTTGTAAAAGCTTCATTAAATCATGTTCTTCCAAAACTCCTGAATAATATAATGTTTTTTCTTGCTTAAGGGATGTTGGTTGTAATTTTATATGAATTTCCATTTCAAGAGGGGCCTGCGCCAGATTGATGAAGTCGTTTTTATAACTTGAAAAATGTTTAATTCTAATAACTTCCTTCATTGTTTCTGCATTATGTTACTGTTTCAGAGAAATTATAAAATTAAAATTTGTTAAAACTGTTAATCCTATCAAGGGCTATTAAAGGGACAGACCGGCTATGTATGGTAGTTGAGCTGAGTATGCAATGTTGTAGGCAAATTCTTTAGGATTCATTTGAGACATATAAAACTTTTTAAAGATCTGTAAATCCTGAGTTTGAGCGCAAAGTCGACGTTTAAAATCGCTCTTTTAGGTGGATACGTTTTCAAAATTGTTTTTTTTTAATTATTAAATAACGACGACAAAAAATGTAGATAAAATTCTTCAGTAAACTAATTAGTTGTTTAAGAACAGGTTGAGCAAATAAAAATTAATCTTTCCCCGAAAAGTAATCCTGTTCAATTATTAGTTTCTATTCTCTCATTATTCTGGTTTCTCATAATTCACAAAGATTTTCTGCAGATTTTCTAGAATTATTATTGAAAAGACGACATTTGAAGAATTTGAAGAAATCTGCGATTAAATTCAAAGAAAATAATTGATTCTAGCATTGATTTATTGGCAAATTTCTTTTGAGAAATATGTTCCTAACCATCTTATTAGATTTCTGTATAATTTTTACTTTATATTTTGTCGTCGTTATTTATCAATTTAAAAAAACCGATTATGAAAACGTCTTTTCCCAAAAGTACGGGTTTAAACGTCGACTTTGCGCTCAAACTCAGGATTTACAGATCTTTAAAAAGTCTCAAATAAATCCAACAAAAATTTTCTACAACACTGCATACTCAGTTCAACTACCTAACATAACCGGTCTGTCCCTTTAAGGTAAAATTTTTGTTTGACAAATTTCTAATACGGTAAAAGGACAAAGACATTAAAAACTATTCACCAACTGTCATGTTGTGAGGAACACCCTATATGGGAACGAAAACGCTGTTTGAATTATACTTACTCTTCGTAGCATCAGTCAGATGAAAACGTGCACATTCTCACAAAGGCAGTGCTATGCAAAGTAGCACCAGACCCTCTTAAAGGGACTGTAAAGGAAAAATGAAAGGGGATATAAAGAGCGTCCCATATCATATTAGATTATCTCCAATCTTTAACGCCAAAGTACGCGAATTGCTAGCAATTTCTGCAAAAAATTAAATTCTATTATGCCTTATTAAATTTTTCAAATTGATTCATTCTTTTAAATTTTCTGATTTGTCCCCCAAATCGTGGTTTAGACATATTGACGCGGTCTAATTTGATGTGGGACACCCTGTAGGCTGAACCCTATGTTACTTGGGAGTTGATCGAAACCCGTGCGATGTCTATCTAATGTTCCTGTCTCGAAGATTTGATAAACAAAAACTGTGTAAATATTATACAAAAGTCGGCATATATATACCAAATTTTGTAGAAAGATAGTAGGTTTAGACAAATCATATTCAGCAAATACGCCACCAATCTGAAAACCACGATATCCCAAAAGAGCCTAAGTAACTTAGGTTTTTTCCTATTTTAATCTTATATTTTTAATTTTTCCTGTTAATTAATATAATGGATATAGATTTCGGTTTTCCTGTTCCCGGATTTTCCTCATAATTCTCGAGCATTCTTAACTTTCATGTAGGGACTCAAATTATTGCTTCTACAATATAATAAATACGTCCGTATCACGTGACCAGAACCCTGGTCATGTGATACGGAATACGGATGTAATAATTATATTATCAATTATATCTATCTAAATATGAAAAATTATTAAGTTCAAATAATAATAGGAGCAAACCTAAGTTACTTAGGCTCCTCTGCGTTATCGTCGTTTTCTGATTGGTGGCGTATTTGCTGATTATAATCTGTTTAAACTTACGAATTTTATACACAATTCAGTATATACCGATTTTTGTGTAAATTTGACACAGTTTTTTATCAATTCCTCGAGACAGGAACATAAGATAAAACTCGCAAGGGTTTCGATCAACTCCTAAGTAACTTAGGGTTCAGTGTATACCCCCATTCATTTTTCCTTTACAGTGCTTTTAAATCCGAATTTAGAAGGACTGACGCTACTCTTTATAGCACTGGTGAGAATTCGCACGTTCTCATCTAACGGTTTTGTGCAAATTCTGCAAAAAAATGCACAAAAAACGCGCAAAACTTATAGCGCTTCATGCGCAAAAGAAGCGTAAAAGTTCGCAAAGCAATATTTGCGCGAAAATTACGCAAATTTGGTGATTTCGTGAAAACCCTGAGACAGGGACATTAGATAGAACTAAAATTTGTCGAAATCAACTCCTAAAATGTCAACAGTGATAAACAGAAAACTCTGGAATATGAAGACGACTTTTAGAAACAAATTATAACTTTAAAAAATCCAATGAGCATGATCGTCACAGAAATTGTGCAGCGTAAACACTACAGATACATTTCACTCATTAGTGAATTTTATAATAGTGTCTATTGAAATTTGCTTTGTAAAAACATTAAATACACTCTAGTTTCGCTGTAATGTCGTCTGTCTGTTCCATTGTTTTCTGGTTATCACTGTAGGCTTTAGGCTACGACCCTTTTACTTTACCTTAACAGTCTCATTAAATGTAGAGCTGAATTGAAATTATGTAGTATGCTGCATTACAGTCTGTAAGTTTTACATTACTCTAAAAGTTACCTAATTGTCCTTTTCCTTTACATCTGTTGTCAATGCATTCCAAAAAATCAATTCTACAACCCTTTTCCCTGGCATCACAGTTTTCTAGAGCAAAAATAATTAAAATTTGGATTCTAAATAATGCAAAAGAAAAATTTGCTGATAAGTGCTTTAAAGAACAGTGTCGGCTATCATATCAAAGCAATAAAAGACGAACTTTTATTAATAATGCATTGATAGGTGAAATATTGTTTGCATTAATAATTGATTGAAACATTCGCACTAACGTTCATTCGGACTAATTCGTTCATTCGCACTATTGTGCAAATGAACACTTAATTGTTCAATCAAACTAATATCCGTGTGGAAGATTTTTTGAGCACGATGGACAACTAACTTTTAAATTCTAGTGGAATTCGGCTCATTTAATTAATTGGCCCCATTGAACATATTTTAGTATGGAATGAACAAAAAAAAGTTCAATCAAACTAAAATCTAAAATTTCACCATTTTTGCACATTTACCCTATAATTAGTACAAATGAGCATACTTAAGTGCAAATGAACAAAAAAAATGTTCAATTGAACTAAAATCTAAAATTTCACCATTTTTCACAGTAAGCCTAATTTGATTTGTACAAATGAACATATTTTAGTGCAAATTATCGAACAAAAAATGTTCAATTAAACTAAAATTAAAATTTCACCATTTGGCTCGTAAATTATAATTATTTAAAGAATAAAAAACATTATGTACGTTTGAACAATTTTTGGTTGTAAATGTTCATTTGTACTAAAGTTCAATTGCACTAATAATATTTACAGAAAAAATATTAGTCCGAATTTTAACAATTTTTTTGCGAGAAATGTTCGTTTGCACTAACGTTTAATGCACTAATATTTAATGAAAAAAAATCATTTTCCCTGTTGAACAAATTTTTTTGTTGGAAATGTTCGTTTGCCCTAACGTTCAATTGCAGTAATATAATTGCAGAAAAATAATTAATTTGTTTGAACAAATATTTTGAGCATTCCAGATCAATTGCACTAATGGTACATTGGTCCTAAATATTCCTGGCAGGAAAAAAATTTTAGTCCAATTGAACAGCTCGATTTGTGTTCGTTTGCACTAATGTTTAATCGTAATACAAACCTATTTCTGATCAGCTGACTTTAGTGCAAATGTATGTTAGTTCAATCGGACATTAGTGCAAACGATATAGCATATTCTTTAATACCCAACAAACATATTCTAAATTACAAGTCGTTAATTAACTACTTCTCATTGTTTGCATGTTTCTGTGTATCTATTTAAAAGATTGGTTCGAATCAAAATTGAAATAAAAAATTGTCTTCATTGTAAGTGATATAATTACAACGACGACTTTATAATATAAAAGGATCAGATTTAATGAATAGTGAGGCATAGTTCAACCACATAGAAGTGGTTGAACCGAATCCGCTGTTGCGCTAGGTCAAGCTAAAATAATTGGTTTAACTCAGTTTCCTATTCAACATAACGGTAGTAAGACGACTTGAAGGTCGTCTTGATTTATAATATAATTTGCTACTTTTTTGTCAACCTAATTTAAAGTAAAATTTTAAATATTGTTGGCTCAAAATATCCCAACTCTGAAATGTGATCTGCCTTGTTTGTGATTTAAATTTGCACGAGATATGAAAAATTTCGTTCAGATTTCGGCCATTTTGGTTGTATTGAACAAATCTGAACAAAAATTCTTAATATCTCCGGTAATACTAACAGCACATAAAAAGCAGACCACATTTTGGAAATGCCAAGTCCAGGAAAATTGTTTTATGAATCAAACATGTTAAAGTAGGTTTACGACTGAATGTCACAAATAAAATCAAAGATAAAAGGCAACTTTCAAGTCTTTTTGCTACTGTCATGTCACGTCAGACATCAGCTGCATGAGTAGGAGTTGGTCTCAGGAGTCTCAGTGTAGATACTTATTAAATTGTCCGTAATTTTAAATCAATATTTTAAATCAAGATCAAGGGATCGGGATCATAAGATGCAACACTGAAGTTTTCAGCTCTGAAAAATAGGGTTTCCAGCAAAAAGGGTAAATCGTTTCGCGAAAATTTCCCCGAAACTATTGCAATTTTTCCGCTTTTCATCCGTTTGCGAAAAATGTTCGGGAGCAAAAAAAAAATGCGGAATTTTATGGGAAACAAAATGCGAAATAAATACGAAAGAGAAATTATTAATTATGATATAGTAAAACTTCTAATGCTGAGTTCTTGCAGAGCAGAGAGTTCCGCATGTTTTTTGCACAATTTATTATTGCGGCTACAAAACTAATGGTTTTCGTATCGTTTTCGAATTTTTTCACGAAAGCTTTCGTTCGTTGGAAACCCTACAGTGAAGAATCAAATTTAACTAAAAAAGATAATATTTGAAGTGTTTGGATAAAACATTACCTAGGACATACGTAAAACTGCTGTAATCTTGACCAGGAGGAACTACTGGGGTGGCAGGGCTAGGTTCAGGTTTAGGTCCAGGAGGAACTGCTGGTGTGGCAGGACTAGGTTCAGGTTTAGGTCCAGTCTCAACCAGATACATTTTACAGTGTCCTGCTCAACAATAAAGTTGAAAATTACTAGAATTAAATTGAAAGGAAATGAATCCTCGTCACTTAAGCTCTGATTTTATTAATCTTTATATCTTTGCAACACAATGATCTTGAAATGTCAAACTTTGAATTTTGTTGTGATTTTGTCAAGCTAAGTTTTGGTCCTCACTTAAAAAGTTCGGTTAACACCATACAAATATTTGAGACAATTTTACAATTTTGCGCAATTTTTGCACAGAGGTTTGTCAAGATTTTGCGAATCGTTCCTCTTGCGACGTTTAGCAATAATAATTGCAATTCTAACCTTTTATGAAAAAATGTATGAAGAGAAAGAAGAAAACCACTTGATTGGTGACCATTGTTGCAACTTTACTTGAAACTGCAATTTTACAAAGATTAATTTGATATTAATGTTGTTTAAAGGCTCTTAATTGGAATAATTGGATTAAGAAATATAAACAGAATTATTTCTTTTTTTATTGAAATTTAGTAAACAATCAAAGACCTGGCCATTATTCTGGTGAATCAACGAAAAAAAAAAAAAATTAACAACCAAATCAGACACAAAATCTCTAGCATTTAATTCTATGCGATTACAAACTGAAAATAATAATAATTTGAAACTTAATGAGAGAACCCGACTAAATCGTATTTAAAACCTTTAATTCTAATTTCAATTGGAACTGGCAGCCAGTAGGGCTGGGCACGTCCCAACTTTTTCTTACCGTTCTGTTAACGGTTATTTACAACCGTTAATTTGCACGAAGTTTAGAAAAAAATTGTTAACGTCTCAGCCATTAATGGTGCTAATAGCGCTAAAGGCCGAAAAAATAACGTTTATGGCCCGAAGTGCCGCAAAAAGGGCAATAGTGGCCTGAAGCGCCGAAACAATTTTTGTTAGCAGTTAAGAAATTGTTAACAGTGCAGCAGTTAACGGTCTACTACAATATTAACGACATTTTAAACTTTCAAACACGTTAAAAAAAAATTACAAGTTAAATGCAATTTTAGGTTGAAAAATAAATTACATAAAGTTAGCGTTATATAGAAATCCGCTCTGTTTTCGTTTTTTTTTCAAAACGGCTAATTAGTTCTGTTAACGTTTTAAAATTTAACGGTTTTGCGGTTTTGCCATGTGTTAATGGTTACTTCCCTTATTTTTTGAAAACCTCCCTTCCGTAAACAGAACTTTGCCCACAACTTCACAATTTTATGGTTAAATTAAAGAATTACAAATTGAATTTGCATTAATTGATTCCCGTCTAACTATACAAACAAAATAATAATTAAGTTTAGAAAATTTGCAATGGGGGGGGGGGGTTATCTTATTCTTCTTCTACCTTAACATGATGAAAAAAATATTTTTTGTTAATTTGATTAAAAATAATTCAAAGTGAGAATAAAATAACTTTTATTTTTTTTCACAAAGAAAATAATTACTCCTTGATACTGATCGACTATAAGTAGGATTTGCATGCACAAATAGTTTTCATTAAATTTCAGACAAATTTGACCCAATTTTGCTAAAAAGTGGCTTTGAATATCATTGAATAAGATGTTACATATATATAACATATTAGAAATTCAAGACATCTTTAATCTTCTCAAAATAAATTAATCTTAGTTTGGCGTGAGGCGCCCAAATTAAAATAAAATAAAATTCCAGATTATACTACTCATACTCTCTAAACACGAACTAAACACGAACTAACTATTTTGTATCTATAAAAAACCAAAATAGCAATAATTCTACTAATTATCTAATTACATTTATTTCCTTTAAAACATATTTTCAAATAATTAAAAGAATCAAAATAAAATGCTGCCACAAAATTTAGCTAACTAAGTAGTTTTAAAAGCAGTTTCAGGATTACAAAATTACATTTCTCTTCTTTTACTACTTAAGTTAAGTTTGCTTTCGTTTAGTTATAGTTTTATATAATACATAAGCCACGAAAACAAAAATTTATGATAAATTTTCACACCTAAATTCAATTTCATATGTCTTAATATGTCTACTCCAATAGTTTATTTGAATTATTCAAATAATGAATTATTGTTAACCAAAACAATTAAGCTTACTCCGCTGCAAGGTCGTCTTTGACCAAGATTTACTCCGGTGACCAAACCAAACATTTTATACCTCCAGCAGAATAGTAAACATCCTCCTCGTGATAGTGCTAACGCTTCAAATATAGTATAAAGCTTTAAAATCCGTGATTTATAAATCTTTGCAACCAAACTGCAGGTATTATATTTCAGAAGTTTAAATGTTGTTTTATTTTTGATTTACCCCATTATCCTCAAAAAGTAAGGATGTTTTATAAAATAAAACATTGTTAACATTTAAATATTCCATCAATTTATATCAATGCATTTTTATTAACTGTACTTATTTACAGGATTGAAATATACCTTCTACGTATGTTATCTTCTATGGATTTGTGGCGAATTTGAGGAATGTTCCTGGGAAGCCTATGAACAATTGCCAACCTTATATTGCCAACCTGAGAACTTAAGTTGCCCGGGACTGTTGCTCGGGAAATAAATATCCCTCCTTTCCCCAGGAAGCCAACACTGCCTGTTCTTACACACTTCCTCTCCATCTTCTCTTGATCAAACTCCATTATCCAGTCGTTCTAAACATAAACATAAAGAAGCCAGAAAGATATCCTTTTATGAAAAAAAATAATATTTCTTGAGGAAAAGGTCATCGTTTATAAAAAACGATTTTTAAGTTTATGTTTAACGTTGAAAATTCGTTTAAGATTGTTTTGTTTTAAAAGAAAACAATAAAAAATCTAAAACGATTCTTTTTACAATTGGCATAAAATGTTTAATATTTAAAACTAACAAACGATAAACTCTGATTTTTGTATAAACATAGAAGCTTAAACAAATTATGTTAAGAGGATTTTAAGTTAATGGAAATAATCCATTTAAATACCAAAAAGCTTCCAAATTGGAGAGATTTTAAAAATTCTGACAAAGCGTTTTACAGAAATTTAACTGTTTGAAGATTATTTAGATATTTTAGGTACAGGGTGTCCCAATATAACAGGGGAATTCAGTGACTATTTTAAAATGGTCTTTTTTTAATCAAGTCTGGTGATGCCTATAAGGAAAGCTCTAGATGTTTCAGACCCCCCCCTTTGAGCTCAACATTGTTTGGAGGTTCTGCTTGTGCTCTTGGATTCAGCTCCTGCAAGGTTCATCCCGTAAAGAATTCAAGGGCGCATACAGAAATAAATCTAGGGCGGGGAAAAAATGCGCGAAGTTCAAACAAAAAAATTTTGCCACCCCACCTTAGAGCTTCTAGGGGGGGCAAAATTTGAGCCCTAAATTCAAAACATTTGGCTTCTTGGATACTTTAAAGGTACACAATATACAGTCCAAATACCATACAAGGACTACTTTATCTCTCCATCAAACAAAAATAGCAGAAAAAAAACAGCAAATTATTTTTTTAAATACTCTTCACTATTCAGTTTTAGATTTGAAGAGTGTGATAGCTCTGAGTTCTAGGGGGGGCTATGTCCCCCCTTTACAGGTCTAGGTAGGGGCACTGCCCCCCTTGCCCCCCCCTGTATACGCCCTTTATAAAGATTCCTTCATCATCCTCTAGATCTTTAATCCTACAGTCCTGATTGTTCTCCAGTGCTCTAGGATTGTGAGCCTGCAGTGTTTTTTCCATAAATATTCCTCCATCATTCTCTGGATCTATAATCCCACAGTCCTGATTATTCTCCAGTGCTCTAGGATTTTGATCCTGCAAGGTTCATCCCATAAATATTCCTCCATTTTCCTCTAAATCTATAATCCTTCAGTCCTGATTATTCTCCAGTGCTCTAGGATTCTGATCCTGCAAGGTTCATTTCATAAATATTCCTCCATTTTCCTCTAAATCTATAATCCTTCAGTCCTGATTATTCTCCAGTGCTCTAGGATTCTGATCCTGCAAGGTTCATCCCATAAATATTCCTCCATCATCCTCTAGATCTATAATCTTACAGTTCTGATTATTCTCCAGTGCTCTAGGGTTCAGCTCCTGCAAGGTTCATCCCATAAATATTCCTCCATCATCCTCTAGATCTATAATCCTACAGTCCTTATTGTTCTCCAGTGCTCTAGGGTTCAGCTCCTGCATGTGGTTAGCTGGAACAATAGGACCCACAGCATTGGGATCCGTACATTTAAGGATCAGGTTTACAAGAAAGGGGAAAGTGAACTCATTTTCTTTGATTATGCACAAACCTAATCCTGAAATAAGTACACTTGTCAGTACATAGACTGGTTTTAGGTCAAAATCCGAGTTTGGTAGGAATTGAATTATTCCAAGAAAACCAAGCACTCCTGCTACAACCACAATCCCAATTGTCATGGTTTTTAAGCGAAAGCCTTGGCCATTGTCTTGGTTCTCGTTTCTAAAAAGAAATTTTAGAATGATGTTTGAAAGTATGAAGATTGCGAGGTATACGCTGACAATGAAAATATTCACAAGCACAACAAAATCTTTTCCATCAGTTACAGGACATCTGCTTTGAAATGATTCCATTGCATGTACAGTGCCTAAAACAATTCAAATTAAAAGATAATTATTTATTTCATAATAATTATAAAAATTTATTCTTAAAATAAAAAACAATTTTTTAATTTTAAGATTTTGTCAAATCCAACAACAGAATTACCGACAAGAACATTAAAGTTTGATCATGGTAATAATCATGTTCTACAAAAAAGTTTTGTTTTCCATGAATTTTTTTAACCTCTTATGGGCATATTTCAAAAAAGTTTCCTGACCCTCAATTTAAAGATGAAATTTCCCGATTTGCAACGTTACCATCGAACACTTTGTCTGGTCAAGTATGAATTAGATATCTTTAAACTGTTCATTTTGCGGGTTCTCTGCGAAAGAGACTTGCGCATTCCTTCCTAACAAGAAGCAATGGAGAAACTTACAGAAATAAACACTTTCTGAGTCAGCAAAACGATGATATCTTCCACATTTTTTTATAAGATTAAGGTTTCAAGGGTTCCGTCAGGCATTGCCATCTTTGCATTGAGGGTTAATTGAAATTACGCTTAGAGTCCCTTTAAGTTAATGAAAAATTATTTGATTAATGTTACCACGTTTAATATCTGCACACAGGAACCCAGGGTATATAAGAACTCCAAGAAGAATAGCAGAGTAGAGACACTTCCTCTCCATCTTCTCTTGATCAAACTCCATTATCCAGTCGTTCTAAACATAAACATAAAGAAGCCAGAAAGATATCCTTTTATGAAAAAAAATAATATTTCTTGAGGAAAAGGTCATCGTTTATAAAAAACGATTTTTAAGTTTATGTTTAACGTTGAAAATTCGTTTAAGATTGTTTTGTTTTAAAAGAAAACAATAAAAAATCTAAAGCGATTCTTTTTACAATTGGCATAAAATGTTTAATATTTAAAACTAACAAACGATAAACTCTGATTTTTGTATAAACATAGAAGCTTAAACAAATTATGTTAAGAGGATTTTAAGTTAATGGAAATAATCCATTTAAATACCAAAAAGCTTCCAAATTGGAGAGATTTTAAAAATTCTGACAAAGCGTTTTACAGAAATTTAACTGTTTGAAGATTATTTAGATATTTTAGGTACAGGGTGTCCCAATATAACAGGGGAATTCAGTGACTATTTTAAAATGGTCTTTTTTTAATCAAGTCTGGTGATGCCTATAAGGAAAGCTCTAGATGTTTCGTCGGCGATAGAGTTAATATTAGTTTGTTTATGTTGCGATTGCATAACGTTGTACTGTAGTATTCTCTTACTACTAAAATGTGCAATAAATTTGCAAACTTAAACTAGCAAACTTTGATAAGACTCTGCTTCAAGTTATTCTACTTGTTTCTAAACCAATTATCTTTGCAACCTGTCAACATTGCAGATCGGGTTATTTCCATCACTCGGGCCTAACCCTCATGCGCTCTTGATATCTTTGCAACCTGGCATTCTTATACTTCGGCTATCTCTATCATACAGAGTAAACCTTATACAATTATCTGCTCGTGAAATTATTAACACCCAAAGTAATAAATACATTCAATACAATGTTAACACATTTATTCACATAATCATAAATGTATACATCATATTAGATAGAGATAACTAGATGGTTTGATGATCAGCCATGGTTCCTTTACAACTAGGTCCCTCAATAGTTCCCTCAGTTAGTTTATCCAATCTGAAGTGTAGAACTACTATATTTGCTAATCCATCCATCATGTATTTATCATCTCTATTCCAGGTATGCTGGTCAGCCCGCTCCTGTAATCTGTGGAGCAGCTTCCCAATCTGGACATAAATCCTGGAGCATACCGTATCCCTGTTAGCTTCGGGATGAAGGCTAAACTCCCGCTCCCAGGCCTTCCTTGCATCCCATGCATTGACGTTGGGGTCTACAAGGGGCTCTTGGGTGCTCGTGTCCTTCCTAGTAAAGGATACCATACTCTCCAGCTCCTGGTTCAACTCTGCTAACTTATCCATCACCTCCTGCATGGTTCGCACCAGGACATCAGTCTCCTCCTCCATATCTTCATCTATAGCAGCTTCATTGGTGTAGGCTGGATTCGTCTCCTTCTAAGTAGCTTGTCCAGAAAGATTCCCTCTGTATGCAGTCTGTGCACTGTATGTAGCACAAGTCCCAGAGCGGTAGTGTGCAGGAGACTTGTGTCTACTGCTACGGCTCGGGATGTACTGATCTCTGGCATCCAGTTATATTCAAGGGACTGTTCACTCTTATCAAGAACAATCCGGAATACAACAGTGCTTAGTAAAATTTTAAAAAATCCTGTTACAAACACAGTAGAGTTGTTCCTCTTTACTGTAGTGTATATCTTGCAGAACTATTAGAACAGTACACAAAATAATACAGTCTTTTACCGTTTACATTAATTAAACTCTACCAGACGCTACTTTATTTTGACTGCAGTGAATTTAGATAATTCAATGCTAAACCATAACAATCGTATTTGTGTCTTATTTCCCGTGTTTATTGGGACACCCTGTACACCCCTGTATGCCGAGTTCATTAGCGCCTGATTCAATCAGAGTTTAGTCATGTGTTTGTTATCTATTCTGAACCAATAGAAATAGTATGGCGGTAACATCTATATCTATCTATCTATCTCATATTCCAATCAGAGTTATGAATCCTGCAATCGGCGCTATCAGTAAATGGAAATATTTACTTCTTCTGAAACTGAAACTATAGTGTGTAGGCTGCTACTGCAAGGCTTGAACACAACTATACAATTTCTAATTCAGTAATACCTAAATTTAACAACAAAATTATTTCATATTCTTTTTTATTTACCACCCGTCCAATCTTATTCTTACTGTTGCAAGTTTTTGTTCATATTATAATACAGTTGTCAGCACATATATTGATACAATGAAGACGACTTTCTAATTTTTAATTATTTCAAGCAGTAGCTAGACACAAAAATATGTAAATAAAGAGAAGCTTTCAATTAACAACTCTTCCCATGTAAATTTTCAACTTAAAAACGCTTGTTAGTGATTAAAGCATTAGTAATTAACTGTAGTTAAAGCTTTAAGCTTATGTCTATAGAACCTGGTAAACTAAGAAGAATCTGAAGGTTGAGATGAAGAGGAACAGATTGCCGATGATGAAAGCACAAATGATGCTGGAGTATCTGATAATCTTGAAGATGATTAGTGGTATTGGTCCCAGGATACTGCTCCACATGATTGTCAGACACTAAAGTATAGTTAATAAATATTAGATCTCTTTAGCAATCTTCTTTTGTAAGATTTATGATTACAGAATTCATAAATAATCAAACTATCATTGAGTTAAACTCAACTTTCAACGTTTCCTTAAATTTTATCATTTTTGAAAGATTTAGTTGGCAGACAGGCAGAACATTAATTGATTAATTATGATCATAAAAATATAATTTAAGAATCTATATATCTAAAAAAGACTTATTTGATTCAAAACATATATTTACCATTATGTAGATGTGAACTATCATAAGATGTGTTATCCGCTTGTTGAGAAAGATGTTGATGTTCATCCTGTGATCTTCAATACTGTTGAAGAAGCAACGAAGAACCCAGAAGAAGAAGGTACCGATGATTAAGAAGATTGCCATAATGATGAAAACTCCTGGATATTCACCAAGTTTACTCTCCACTGTGTAGTTTCTACAATTCCAGTACTCATCCATTTTTAAGGGTTTAATCTCAAAAATTATACATTTAAAGGGACTATTATTGAAAAATGAAAGGGGGTATAGGCTGAATCCTGAACCCTTTTAGGACTTGATTACGACCTGTATGAGTTCCTTTCTCGAGAAAATTGTTATACAACTGTGTCAACGTTATACCAAAACTTATATACAGGGTTACCCATAAAGGATGAGACTTCAGAGACGACTCTACGGAATTAATATTTCTTGTTTCCTTAAATTCATGGTACGACTGTTCCTTGTGACTGTAAACTTAATTATTTCTTCGGTAAATCATAAAATAATCCATTGGAAGACTAAAAAGAGAAGACTCAATGCAACCTTGAAATCGTCATATTTCAAGGGTTTTAAGTCGTATTTACAGTCTTATATTTTATGGGTAACCCTGCATATGAGATGTTGTATATAAATCAAATTCTGAATCACATTCAGCAAATAGGCAATGAATCTGAAATTACGTATAGCCCTCCAATATATAGTTTGAATTTGATAATTCTTCAATATAATAAATATATTTGAAATTTAGCGTAAATATTCGCATTTGCTCAATTTGATCTGATTAAAACTGTGATTTATGTACAACATCTCATACATTTAATTCTTGATATAACGTTGACATAGTTTTACATCCATTTCTCGAGACAGGAACATCAGATAGAACTCATAAAGGTTGTGATCAACTCCAAAAGGGTTTAGGATTCAGCCTATATCTCCTTTCATTTTTCCAAAACTGTCCCTTTATGGAATCAATATGAAAGTCTAGTTTTTACAGTGAATCACTTTTTGAAAATATTTCCAAGGGACCGTTCACTTATTTGGGTAATTTCAGAGTAAACTTCATAGCCTACTAGCTATTTATTAGTATTGGTCTTACTTTTCAAAGATAACTGTGACCAGAGAAAAGTTAATTTTTTGTTTTGAATTCCGGCACAAAGGTATCATACCTTTTTGTGGACACTATTTGATAGTTTTTATCATAGTCAGGGATTTTAATAATTCATAAAGAATAAATTTTACTATAATACCAATAGGCTAATTTCAAAATTGTCCACAAATTGTCTATTTTTAAATTATCATTATTTTGGATAAATTTGATATAATCGAACGCGGCATTTTAATTTACTGAATTGAGCCCCTGCGGAATTCAATTATTGAACCCGGAGTTAAAAGAACTGGATTTCCGGTAAAAAATCATCTTTGTAAATAAACGGTAAATCTTTGAACCCAAAAAACGCTAATTTCGTGTTACTTTCATATCAAAAGTTTCATATTTTAGTATCTAAATAGCTAACACATTAAAATAGATTTTAGATTTTCTAGGGCTGAGCTGTTCCAGAAAAAATGTTGGTTTAGTTGTAATACAATTGTAGCGACTGTGACTAATTGTGTGTCAGAATTTTAAACGTTAAATCGTTTTTTTCCAGGCCATAGTTTTCTTTTAAAAGTAGGACTAACTGCACCAATGAATAGCGGAAGGCTGTTTTGCTTATCCTGAAATTACCCAACTAAGTGAACGATCCCTTTAAACAGTAAAAAGTCCTAGAATCAGAGATTTGGGGACTGAGAATAAGAACAGAATTTGAGCAAAATTTACCAATAAAGCTTAACAATGTTAAACTTAGAATTATGTGTAATAAGAGATGTTTTAAGATTATGCTACAGAATTCAAAAAGATTTTAAACCTTTAGAAAAAAAAGATGATTCATTTGCACAGGAACTATAAAAACATTATTTTACATTTTTTTAAAACACAATTTTTGATCCAGTACTGTAATAAATCTTTAATAAATAGTTTATGCAGATATATTTTGGATTACATAAAGTCATTTGGCCTACGATCAATTTTTTACGAAGAAGCATAATAAAATTTATAAAAACTAGCCTTAAAGGGCGCTTCGCTCCCATCTTCTAAATTAATTGTGAACATGTTCTCTTTGTGTACATCGTAAAACAAAACCAAAAAAAATCGCGGATTTTCACAAAAAATTTCGTGGATTTTCAAAGTTTTCGAAAATTTAATGAAGATCGAATTTTGATGGAGACAAATATTTGAAATTTTGATCATTCATAAACCTTCCCTGGGGTCACGGGATGTCCCATAAAAAATTTGGGCCCGATCGGTTCAGCCGTTTTGACGTTTATTGGATACAAACAAACTGACAAACAAACAAACAGACAGACAAGCCAAATTTACATATAGATGCAATTTTTTCTTTTTTAATACTGAAAACAATTTATCTTCCTTCCTTTCTACCTGCACTGGAAGACTAAAGTTAACATGCTAATCTAATCAAATGATTTTGAGGAGGGTTGACAAAGTGCACATGGAAAATACAATAAGCAGGCAGGGTTTTCATTATTCAAAAATCATTCTATGTTAGAAATTGAATGAATGGAAATTTGTTGCGTAAAGTGGAATTCCGGGACATTTCCGGATGAAAAGGAAACCGGAACCTGGACATTTTTACGGAACAGAAACCGGAAATTTCCGGATCTCTATTATCGAATTCTGGAACATTCCGAATTGAATATCATCCTGGAAAGTTTCGGGAAAAATCGTTCTGGAAAGTTCCGGGAAAAATCGTTCCGGAAAGTTCTGGAATAAGGCTCTGAGAACATTAGAAACATCTTATACTTTTGTAAAAGAAAAAGTAATAAGTTATAAATTATGTAATAGAATGCGCCCCTGTTCTCAATTATTATCATGAAATCACGGCTTGAGCTTTTGGATTCAAGCTGCATCTTTATTTCAAAGAGTTGAGTTTAAAAAAACGGGTTGATATTCTATTTGGCGAATTTTCATGGTAGGAATTGGCGCATTCCAGGTTTTAATGAGAACAAGACTCAACAGTCAACATTGAGCCTTATTCTCCACTAAAACCAACCAAGGTTGGTTTTATTTTCATTGGGCCTAACTCCATAAGTCGAGCCAAAGATCTTGCAGCTGTAAATCACGTGACACAAGCTGCTGTCAGAGTTGGGTCGAAGATCGGGTCTTAAAGTCGGCTTTAAGGAATTACGACTCGAGCCGAAATTTTTAAATCGCGGGTTTCTGGTCCACATAATGTAAACCAAACAGAGTTTCTTATTTTCCATAAGACTGAAGTTTATCTATATATGAATCTCACTCAATGATTCTATTTTTAAACTTTTAAAAATTTATATTTTCGGAAATATATTTTTCTTAATTTTGTTATCAAGATAAGATGTCTATTTATTCTCTAATATTTTCCAATACTGACCAGACCACCATTTTTTGGCAATTAAAGGTTTGTTTTCAACAATCCTTAACAAAATGATAAATTTGAGAAGAAAAAACACAATTCTTAGTTATTTATTTTAAAAGATTATCAAATTTTCTAGTTTTTAAAGTTTTTTTTCTGTCCTATTTATTCAAAAAAAGTTATCAATATTAAATTTTTTTCTCTATAAAATCAAGCTGTGGAAGATATCACTGTCATTCTTGACAAAAAATTGTTCCATTTGTTTTATTATGTCCCCCATGTGTATAATATTAATTTGATACAAACTCTCCCAGTCTAGATGTTAGAATAAAGAGAGAATAAACATCGTCCAGGCTTTATACTTGAACAGAGAGATATGGCAGAGAGAGAAGGTCCTTGATGTAACCGTAGATACTTCTGTAGTCCCTACTGTAACCATAGATACTTCTGTAGTCCCTAGTGTAACCATAGATACTTCTGTAGTCCCCAGTGTAACCATAGATACTTCTGTAGTCCCTAGTGTAACCATAGATACTTCTGTAGTCCC